AGACACGAAGCTTGGGCTAAAAAATGGGCAAAGATTGAAGGTGTTTTCATCTCAATCGAACCCATCTGCCAATCATTAAAAAGGGTCTCCTATGAATGTGACCATGATACAATTCCGATGAGCTTCATTCCGAAACGGATGATGACAGCAGCAGCAACATCTGATCAGCAAAATCTTGACCAATTGGAGTCATCCTACATGCACTCCGTATTATTCAAAGAAATTGTGCTGGAAATTAAGGAAGACGATGTTAAGCCTTTGAATGATCTGGTTATCTACTGTCGTAACAAAGGTATTCCTGAATCAGAATTGAAAGATTTTCAGCGAAAATACCACCAGAAATCACCAATCTATTGGTATACATATGAAATGTTTCTCTATGGCATGCTAAACTATGCTTTACGGTCACTTGACATGCAGGTCATGGCAAAAATGGGTTTTTTCATCCGAAATCTTCACCAACAACTGGAACAACTACATAGAGAACAGTCAAGTATGTATACGAAAGAATTTATTGTTTATCGTGGTCAGGGGCTCACCAAAGAAGACTTTCACCATCTACTCGACGCAAAAGGTGGACTTCTCTCGTTTAACAATTTCTTGTCGACTAGTAAAAAACAACAGGTAGCTTTGGACTTTGTTCAACGTACATTACAAAAATATGAAGATCAGGTTGGAGTTCTATTTATTATGACAATTAATTCAAATAATGTTTCGACTTCTCCATTCGCCCTTATCGACAAATATAGTGCTATTAAAGGCGAAAAAGAAATTCTGTTTTCGATGCATACTGTCTTTCGTGTCGGTGAAATGAAGCAGACAGTAAACAATAGTCGCCTATGGGAAGTTCAATTAACTCTCACAGATGAGAATGATCCACAATTGGCTCTCCTCACCAAACACATGCGAGAGGAGATCGACGGCACCGGATGGCATCGAATGGGCCAACTGATGCTGAAAGTGGGTCACTTCAATCAGGCTGAAGAACTTTACAATGAATTACTCAAGAACGCTACCAATGACGATGATAAAGCATATATCTATCACCAACTGGGATGGGTGAAAGCTGACCAAGGACAATACAAAGAAGCAGTCTCATTTTATGAAAAATATCTAGAAATTAAGCGAAAAACTCTTCCGGAAGATCATTCTTCATTGGCTAATACCTACAGCAACATCGGTGGAGGGTATAAAAACATGGGTGACTACTCGAAAGCACTTGAATTTTACGACAAAACACTTAAAATAGAAGAAAAAACTCTGCCTCCGAATCATCCCTCATTGGCTACTTCATACAGCAACATCGGCTCTGTGTATGACAACATGGGTGACTGCTCGAAAGCACTTGAATTTCACGATAAAGCACTTAAAATCTACGAAAAAACTCTGCCTCCGAATCATCCCTTATTGGCTACTTCATACAACAACATCGGTTCTGTGTATGACAACATGGGTGACCACTCGAAAGCACTTGAATTTCACGACAAAACACTTAAAATCTACGAAAAAACTCTGCCTCCGAATCATCCCAATTTGGCTACTTCATATAGCAACATCGGTCTTGTGTATGACAACATGGGTGACTACTCGAAAGCACTTGAATTTCACGACAAAGCACTTAAAATAAAAGAAAAAACTCTGCCTCCGAATCATCCCTCATTGGCTACTTCGTACGCTCACATCGGTCTATTACACGACAAAATGCGTGATTATTCGAAAGCACTTTCATTTTTAGAAAAGACACTTGCTATTCGACAAAAATCACTCCCACCAACACATCCTGATATTAAGCGAGCGATAGATAATATTGACTATGTGAAAAAGAGGATGTAAATTTGTTTTTTTTTCATTGACTTGCTCAATAAATTTCTTCGCAATGCTATTCACCTTCTCCGGCTTTCTTTTGGCTTATTATGGCGTACACGCGCGCGCGACCGGAGAGATTCCCTGTAAGTCTGAAATGGATACACACAGAGCGGATCACGCCAGACTGGTAGGGCAATGAAAGATAGGTATGACGAAGAATAACGACGACAGGGACCTACGAACATAGCGGTCTTCCAGAGTACTACACTGCTTTCGCTATAACAGGCACAAGAAATCTCCCTGGATTAGATTACGAAGCCACCTTACAAGGCTGTGATATAATATGATACCTCAACTACTACTAGACAATAACATAGCTATTGTCAAAGATAAAAGAATTTTCTCTTTTTCACTTTCATATATTGCAAGGAATACATTCATGTAAGGTATTTAAAGAAAATAAGAAACTATTCCATCCGGAATAGAAGACATGTCTAACTCATAAATAAAAATTATCGTCAGAAGTCCTATTGATCACTAGGACTTCTAAATTTTATATCCCTTCTCTCAATTTAAAAAAAAAAGAAACCAACTTAACTTATACTAGTCTATTATTTTATCTCTTCCGAATAGAAAAAATTCAAGCAACATACCTGTTTTGCTTGTTGTATTGATCATGTAAATATTATTGTAATTCATTATATAATATCGATAATTCAACTTCGGAACATTGTAAACAATTTTATTTTAATATAATATAATATTTATAATAATTTATTATGATTCATTGTCATTGTAAAAAATTTTAGTAATAATTCTAATGTATGTAAGTAACGATATGCTAGCATATGAATGTATAAATTTCATTATAATAAATTCCATAATTATTAAAATATTTGTATATTACACCTCTTGAAAGAAAAAAGTTTATTAGAGTACTTACTTAATCTGTTGACGAAAAAATGTTCGATTGAATGGAATGATTTCATTTAAGAAAATCATTCCTTATATATATATGTTTCAAACATGAAGTGTCAGACAATAACGATCTTTGATAAATAATGAATAAATGACATTGTAATTTTTTTTCTTTGTATCCGTTAGAAAATTGATCATCGAAGATGAAGAAAAAACATTATTGACGAGATAATTATTTTCATTGTTGTCGTTGACGATCAATTTATCACTACTCTACAATGTTTTCATTTATTTATTTTTTTTTTCTAAGCTTTCTTGTAAAAAATTTCGAGGTATGGGTGTGGATGTAAATGCACAGTACTTATTCTCTTCGCACCACACCCACAATCATATCTTACATCATATATATAGTATACAGTTATTTTAACTAAAATATAATATGATTCAATGTCATCATTAACTAAAAATATTATTTTTATTTTAATATTTAAAAAAAATTCTACAATGAATAAAAATGATTACACGACATTTGCGCGCGTGACATTTGCGCGCCGACACTTGCGCGCCGACATTTTCGCGCACGACACTTGCGCGCATAACACTTACGCGCGTGTAATTTGCGCGCAAAATTATTTCTTTTCATGAAATGAGTCTGCGTTTGGGTTTGAGTGTGATGATGGCGGAAGGTGGGTGTCACTGCGATGGGAGACCAGCAGTTCGCGACAATCCTTGATGTATCTTCACTACCTTAGGGAAAATCTTTGATGTTTCTGTGTCTGATCCTTAACGAATTCAATCAGGATCCTTCAAGGAGTCGGTGTTTTTTTCCTGAGAAAACGACTAAACCCTGAAAGAAGCGTATAGCCACAGAATTTCAAGATCCTGGTAGTATTCCTAGCAGGATCCAATCACAATTCTGAACAGATTGCGTCCGAGGTGCACGAAATCTTGAAAGAATCATCTCTATTATTCCCGTAAGGATACTAAGCAGGATTAAGCTTAAATCCTTGTAGGATCCTGCATTCATGATTTAGAAAAATACCCTGATAGGAACCTAGGTAGATCCTAAACAGGACCCTGCCTAAACGTGCGAAGGTCAAGACAAGTGAGCTCCGCATGTAAACTCCAAATATGAAGCTCACTTTTATTCTCAATCCTCCTGTTATGATTTGTAGTATCACCAAGAGTACTAGTAGCATTACCTTGGATGCCAGAGGCATTTCCTGGGATCCCACTAACATTGCCTAGGATGCTAATATAAATTCTCTCGGATGCTATGTGCACCACCTGGGATGCTAGAGGCTTTGCCTGGGATGCTACAAGCATTGTCTGCGATGCTATGAGCTCGCCACAAAAATGCTACTAGCGTCGTAGGTAATGCCTCTGGCATCCAAGAAGATACCTCTGGCATCCAAGTAGATACCTCTAGGATCCCCGGTAATGGCTCTAGCATCCCAGAAAATGCTTCTAACATCATAGAGAATGCCTCTGGCATCGTAGGGAATGCCTCTAGCATGAATGAGAAGGCTTCTAGCATCACAGAGAATGCTATTAGCATCCCATGGAATACTAATAGCACCTCAGGGAATGCTACTGGGACCCCAGGGAATACTACTAGCATCAAGGCGAATGCTTCTAGCATCAAGACGAATGCTTTCAGCATCCCAGGGAATGCTACCAACAACCCAGAGAATTCTACTCGTATCCCTGGAAACGCTTCTCGCACCCCACTGAATGCCACTAACATTCCAGGGAAGGCTACCAGCATCACAGGTGATGACTGTAGCATCTCAGGTGGTGCTATTAGCATCCGAGGAAATGCTAGTAGTATCCCAGAAAATGCTAGTAGTATCCCAGAAAATGCT